GTCAGAGAAGTAGTTGCGATCACAGAGAACCAAAGAGAAAGTGATGCGTGGCACATGCTACGTAAAGGTCGTTTGACAGCCAGTAATTTTGGCSCAGTTCTTGAATCAAAACGGGTGACTCCATCGCTTGTAAAGAGAGTTCTCGSAGAGTATGACGTTTCTCGAGTTCAGGCCGTACGTTGGGGGATCGTTAATGAAAAAGAGGGGATCAAAGCCTTCACTAACTACACCAAACTTCCGGTACAACATACAGGTCTTTGGCTACACACATCAGGGGTACTTGGTGCATCCCCTGATGGACTGGTGGGAGCTGATGCTGTATTAGAGGTCAAATGCCCATTTACACAGAGAAATGCTACCATAGCAGAAGCTGTTGAATGTCAAAATTTTTGTCTGGAAAAGAAAGACCAGGGATATGCCCTTAAAAMATCCTCTCACTACTGGCACCAGGTTCAAGGACAAATGTACATAACAGGCAGAAACATTTGTTATTTTGTGGTTTGGACTACCAAGGAAAGTGCAATACTCCCAATCCAGAAAGACCCAACTTGGAAAGAAAACATTTTACATCTACAAGACTTTTATACGTTAAACATGATCCCTGCACTTGTTGATGGTGGACTTTAATGATGTAAAGACTATACACAAAACTTATACTTTAGCTTCTAGATCACTTCTATCCAAACAAATGAGTTCATGTGTACATCTATGTTTTTTTAGATTCATGATATTGAACTATTAAATAAGTATTAAATAACTATTAAATAAGTATGGCAATATGTGAACGTGAATGTAATATTATCAAAGATTTGTGTTGAACATGTTTTACAGCATTTTTATGAAAATAGATATATTTTGGTGTCATTGTTAACATTTATATTCACATGTATTTTCTGTATACATTAAACTTTATAATGTGTTCAGTTAATCAAAGTCAATTGTCCCATTTATTTCTTTGATGAGAGGATTCTGAAGATTAACCAATGCAGCACATAGCTGAAAGATCTTGTCAGAATAACACCTCAAGTAAGGAGGAATGAAACTTAAAATCTTATAGTCTTTCAATCGTGCATTTGCACGCTCAACATGTATGCGACATTTTGCAATGCTCTTGGTTAGTTTCACTTCACTTTCTGTAAATTTTCCATTGTTAAGAAATGGTGGAATGTTGACATCAACCCCTCTTGGTACAATGTCATTGATCAAAAATCCTTTGTCAGCAAGAATTAAGTCTCCAGCAACAAAGTGCTGGAGTATACCTGACTCTTGTACAATTGCYTTGTCAGATACTGATCCTGGAAATAGCTTACTAACATAAGTCACTACTGCATTAGGTGCAACACCAACAATAGTCTTAAATGAGTTCATGCTACGATACGTTGAATAAGTCAGTTTCTGATYACTCATTAGGCTAGGCRTCGCAACTTCAATGTCAGTGCAATCRATGACCATCCTGCAGTTCCCAAATAAACTAAATGATCCAGGGAGTGAAGTCTTATTCTTGAATCTTGATGGCACCTGTGTTTCCATGATGTCTTTGTACAARAGCTGGTTCAATACATGGAGAAATGTGATGACAATGTTTGCAATTGTAGCAGTGCTGCAATTATAAAGCTGTGCTAAATGGAGATTGTTGTAATTGTGTCTCATTTTCATAAGTGTTATAAATATTTGATCTTCAAAAGACAGCATATCAACTTT